ATTACAGATATCGATCCTAAAAGTAGTTCTATAACTACTTTCAAGGACAGAAACTGAAGTTCAATAACACTAGTTTCGATTTACTTTTTACTGTGGTAAGCATAAGCTTTCGGCATTGTTCTTAACACGTGTTAATTCGGAGCAACAGACATTATCAACGAGCACAGACCTTCTTTAGGGAAAAAATGAACATGACCTTGATGTAATAAAGACTAGTTTCGATACGCTAACACCAGAATCAACACGTTACTTTATTGTTTGTCATCCGAATACTTAAGCTGTGTTTATGTATTGTACGAGTTACACACACATCAGTGCGTAAAACATCACAAACGATTGCAACGTAACGAGTTAGGATTTAGCAATAAGTTTAATTAAATGAAAATTAGGCTAAGCGATATCTACGAAACGGGATCGATAGACGAGACACACCTTTTAACACAGAACAAATTTTTATTTCCCGGAAGGGATATTGCTTTCAGATTGAATGATGTCATTCAAGAATTTCACGTGTATAAAACGGAAAACCCCAACAACTCTTAGGTCTTTACGTATAATTTTCGAGGGATAGTTTACGAAATAACCCCATAGGGATATTTCTTAGAAGAATGATTTTTTTTTCTTACCTTTCATTTATTATTCATAGACGAGTGGCGTTCGATCAAAAATCGATTATATTTTTAAATTTAACCACAGAAAAATCGACCGAAAGCACGTGTTATGTTTAAAGGTAACCGTTAGTTGGGGTGCATTCAACCCTGGTGTGTTTGTAAACACACCGTGACGTCAAGAGGGGTGACAGAGATGATGGGAGAGTAAGAAGAAAGAAAAAAAAACTATTTGTCAGCTGATGGTGTGGCACGCGTTTTGTGCACGCAGTCAGCTGGTTACACGGCATTTCTGAGAATCGTTGGCCCACACTCACGTGACGCGCACCGACCAATGGTAGAAGGGATAAGCTAGAAAGACTAGTTTTAACATCGTGCCCGGTTCAGAAAGTTGCACCAAAGTTCCCGACAATGCAGTTGGAATAGATCAGGTATTAAAATAAAAAATATTTATATTTTTATAATTTTAGAAGTGCAAATTCATTAAAATCCCTTTATCTTTAACTTTTGTCTTAAGTGTTAAGTGTCATTCGTGTGTTAAGTTTCTCGAAGCGTGTTTTTTGGTGTAGGGGAAATTTCTAAAAATAACTTCGACGTCTCACTTGCATATACATAATATATGATGCATATTTATGTATTGTTGCCTGAAAATGTCGCAACTTTATCCTTACTTAACGCACGCAATCGTAACACGAGTAACACAACTTTACACCCCCGAAACGTACGTGCCACGTGAGATAATTTACCTGAGTAGACCTGGACCTAATCCAACTATCGAAGTAACCTTGATTCGACATTATATAGAGGCAGACTCGATTGTGCTAGGTCCACACCTGTACAACACAAGGACACGAGTTTCACTTTTTTTGAGGGATTCAAGCACCCCCTCCGGGTATACCACGCTCGATTCTTAGATTCTAACTTAAAATGTGTGTTTTAATCATCGAATTAAGCTTAATATTCTATATTTTTACACCAGTAAACAGTAAAAATGTATATTTAACTTACAAGGAATGTGTAGGAGTGTGTAATAAATTCTTTTTCTTTTTAATTAATGACTTATTACAATACAACGAACATAATAATGCTATTGGGTGTTAAGTAAGACCATTTTGAGGATGTCTATTAATCATTAATTGAAAAGTTAAGTAGTCTACTTCATTAATTTTCTTTACAGGAAAAGTGTGAAGTAAAAGTATGCGTATAAAATCATTAATATAATATATGAAATAACTGTAGGTAGTATTTTATATACAAGAACAGAACTAGTATTATTATATGAAGTATTCATGCCATACGCTATCGCAATAATGAGTATACATGACAGTAAGTATATAGCCTACAGGATATACAGGAGGACAGTATATGATTATTCCTTTACAGTGTACAGGATTATATCATTATTACTGTACGTACAGTACAATAATAATGAGTGTATACAAGATAGTCTTGTATGAAGGGTTCATTTATACATTGCAAACATTTACAGTTTTGAATTATCAGGATTACAGAATCTGGCCCAAAGATTTTCAAAATAGCAGGCCCACTTCATTAACTTATTGTTCCACTTTTTGGGTGTATGACACATCCGAATACGGGAGGAGAATCTCGTGTTTAGGTATTTAGCATTATATCAGACTGGTTCGGACCCCACTTGAGATCAAAACATGTGTTTTCTGTCTAGACACTAGTTTTTACACTAGAATTCACAGCGGTGTGTTTTCTATATGTAAATATACTTGTACGGTATGCAATATATACATAATTAGAGTGGATAATATTATAGTTATAGCATTAAACGTTACTTACATTGTGTCTATGGCCTACAATTATTGCTGTTACTATGCTAATTAGATTAATAAGGCAAGTTTCCGTTCTGCAAGCGCAGAAAGACGTTCATAAAATAATTTTAAATGTTTAGGAAATTTATTTTTCTTGAAAATGTCTGGAACATTTGGAAGTAATCATTCTTAACAGGGAGAAATATTTTTATATCGTTATCTGTCACACGATATTCTATATCGAATATCACATGTTTGGAATGCAAGTCTGTGGAGATGCTGCACATGTTCTGTTAACAAAAAAGAATTCAAGTAATTCGATATGAATTATTAGAAATTATTTTAAAATCTATTTTTATTCAATATATAACAATAATTATTTCTATTATTCTCATTTTTATGAGGTATTATATTGTTTCTAGGTCACACTTTCTACGCGAATAACTTTAGAACAGGAGAATGCCTGTTACAAAACTGTGTACAAAGGAATTTCGGAATTCTAAATCTTCTTGTAGGACTATACAGCTTTCATCACTGGCATAAAATCATCTTCCTGTCGATACAACGATTCCCTGTAATATTCCTCTTCATTACTCTACCGACAAAACCATCCCCCTATTATCTTATTGTACAGGGTGATTCAATAGTTCCATACACTGGCAAAGTGTTCACGTTATGCAGTCACTTATAAGTCATAGAATACGACCTACGTGCGCGTATACATACGTGTTAACATATCTGATATTACGCACGCATACACTACATCCCTTCGGGTGGTCTGCGTTTATCATGGAGACTTGACTCACTTTGTATATTGTATTACATCGTGTAACACTAGGCATATTTTTATGAGAAGGCAAATACAAAATTAACATTTGTAGCCCTATATATAACATTACTGCTGCAGGCTCTTTTGTACCTACTTATTAAACTTTTCTACGTTTTCCCTAACGTTTTCTACATAAAAGAAATTAATAATTTCCTTGACTTGTGATATTAGAGTGATGACAATTACAGATATCGCCATTTTTTACGTAAATATTAAAGAAAGATTTTACTTAAATGTCCCCAATTTTTCCCTAACATTTAAGTAAAGAAATCTTAAATTTCTCCAATTTTTTCCCGACATTTCTAACAGCTTAGGGCATTTTTCGCATACTTGAACTTCATTTTCACATTGTCGAGCGCTTTAACTCTCGATTTAATCGCAAGAATAAAAATTTGCAGACAAATTATTATTATAAAAATCCAGTTTCGGCAATAAAAAAACAAGGAATAATTTCAAAAATCCTCCCGAACATTTACTCATAGTGAAAGGGAGTGTTCCAACCAATGCCGTAGGTTACCTTCTTCTTTTTTTTTTAAGTGTTACGACCGATTGTGGTGGAAGGAATGTCATCGATTTGCACGTGCTCCATCAAATGTTAGTAACCGTCGGACCCGCTAGTTTCAGTTTCAAAAATAACAGTCGACCGACCAGTTCAAGGTCGGTGGGAAAAGTTGTAATTTGTTCGTCGGGTCGCGCGGCATTCTTTTGACTATAGCAATAATGTCTCTATTTGTTAGCTTACAATTGTCTAAACGGTTGGACTTCACAATGGAAGAATCGTCCAAGCGAAAATACACATAAGTTAATTACCCTGGTAATTTGGTTGGCTTCTAACGCTCCCCTTCCCTCCGCCGTCTAACCCCCCCCGCACACTACGTTCGAAAATCCTTCTGGAATTACAGTGGGATTCTTTACGGTGGGAACTTTTCTGGCATTTTATCGAAAAAATAGCCCCCCATCCGAATTTTTAGAGGAATTTTCGGAGTTTGGAAACTTTCCCTGTTCAATCAGTCAGTCACAGCATCTTGTTTGCAGGAGTTCGTAAACTTTGTGAAGAAGTAGGCATTTTTTTTTCAAGTAAGGGTGGAAAATTGTCCAGACCGGTGTCAAATGGGGGTCTAACGTGCAAAATTTAGTGTCGAATGTGTTTAAATTCGAAAGAGTTACTGCTAACGGACACCTAAAATGCAAAAGCTAGCGCTCGAGTTGAAGAAAGCAATAAATAGTGCCAGATTTGAATTTAAAAACACGCAAAATATTAGTGTCAGTGGGAATTTATATTTCCACAGAATAATATTTAAGAAAAGAAATAAGCATCATCTCTTCTCTTGAGTAGGAAAGCATCATCTCTTCTATTGTTCTACACGTAATAAAATTATAAACAGTTTTCTGTGTAGATTTTTTTTTAAAGAATTACATAAAATTATATAAATCCATAGCCAGGCCCAGATATACAGGGACTATAGGAGAATTTGGCTCGAGTCCCGGGTAGAAGGGCCCCAAAATTTTTTGTCATAGGTAATATATGTCACAAGTAGTGAAATGTCTGTTCTTATTTATTTTATTAATTTTATTCTTATACTTTAATGGTATTTGGAGTAAGATACGTTACAAAAATAAAGATTTAAATGTAGAGTCATTTGTATATCTTTCTTTTTTATTTAAAAATTTAAAAAAGGTTGATGGTTACATTCCAAACCACTTACTTCACTGCCCATTGACTACTAGCAGCAGGAGAAAAAGGGCCACTCTCGATAATATTTACTAAAAATAGGGCTGCTAGTACTCTTTCCCCTGCAAATCACCATCATTTGAAAATGATAATTTGCTTAACTCGGTGCTGACTAGTTCTCAAGCAGTCGTCCAAAAACACCAATAAACTGTTTCAAAATACTCGCGCGATATTCGAAGTTTGGTCGTAGTTTAAAACGTTTCAATGTGTAGCGCTATTTCTACAATAATCACGTTTAAAACTTGAATTTTCCAGTCTCAAATCCTCGTATTTAAGAACATAATACAGGTAAACATGTTTTCAATTAACAAAATTAATGTGTGACGTTACGAAAGTAGTGTTGTTGCTTATAGAAATGATCGAAATTCGTTAAATTTCGCTTTAAATTTTGAAATCGTGACATCACACTCTATCGGGGTTCATAACATCAGCAAAGACTAGAAGTATATTCTAGGTGTTCCGACCCGATCAATCAAGTTTTGTCTGTTCCCCCCCACGAAAATCTCTACTTTAATGAAAAATTAGGCAAGAAGAGTAAGGCGAATTTAATACGCCTTGAAAATATATAAAAATTAGCGCTAGACCCCAAAAAATAAAAGAACGTGAGAGGTGTATAAGAGGTGTAAATGCGCGAAAGGGTCCGTCGCCCCCGGCACATCGAGGCAGTCACATATAAAAGTTGTGGTGTAAATGCTGCTAGAAAGTAGCTGCTAGTCTCGTTTTACAAGAAGGTGTTTGTTTACGTTTGCAGAGACGAGGACTTTGACTGTAGTTCGGGAGGCAAAGGTACTTTTTTAAAGAGGGGGAATCGTCACAAAGAACGCCGATTATGTCATCAACAGGTAAAAAAACCTCCTTTTTACGCTACGCGCCATGTGTAAAAATAAATAAATAATAAAAAGATCGGTTTACAGTACCGCATACTTAATACAGAAACTTTTAACACTACTTTGTAACGATTCGAGTGTGTTTTTTTTTTTAATTACGAGCCTTAAAAATAGGGAAAAGTTGTAGGTATTTTTAAGGTGTGATGTAAATTTTTTCAGGTTTAAAAAAAAACATATACATATTTATGTATGTATAGTAGTATACATAGTTTATATAAATAGGGAAGGTAAGCCAATTTATAGCATGGGTGAAAGCAATGTACTGTGAAATATAGGTTAACACGTCAAGTATTTTTTAACGGATTATTTAACTTAGTTTAGTGTTTAAAATATATATAAATAAATAATTTTATAGCAATATCACTTACTAAAACCAATAACCGGTATTAAATAATCGTAAAATGTACTGCGAACGTTTTCGGTTCTTTCCCTAGGACCTTTCTCAAGCAGCGATTCGTCTTTAGAATAACTATGAACAAAGACCAGTAAATAGCGATATTCGAAAAATTATTCTTTCGAACAACATTTCAAAATCCAAAATTCNGTGTTTAAAATATATATAAATAAATAATAATATAATAATAAAAAGTTGAACTGATTTCTTATAAAATAGATTTAAATTATTTTTTTAATGAAAATAGTTTTAAAGTATTTTCCCCGTTTTATTAAAGCCTGATTTAAGTAGTCTACAGGGAAATTTGTATAGAGAAGTTTAATGAATTTAACTTTTGTTATAGTATATATAGCGACGACGTTGATGATGATGATGGGGGAAGGAACTGAATTAAAAAGGCTGCCCATTTTTGTTCTGTTAAAGAATGGGGACAATTGAAAGAATCGAGACAAATTGCATCAGCTAGAGATAAATATTTTTAGACTGTTGTAATATATATTTTAAGTCACTTTTTTTATTTTTTAAATTTAAATCCCTAAAACGTAAGTGAGTATATGACAATCGTCTTTCATTAGAAGTTGAGTTGGATTGAGTCTTTCGCTTATATATTTGTCTGCTTCTATAAAATTTTACACCCTTTCTCAGATTGGAACCATTTGTATTTGAGTTTGGCTCTATATAATTGTATACCTAACTAGGTAGGCTACTTGGATCCGTTTGTACACTACTTATATACAATCTTACACCTATCCTTATTTTAGTGCTTGGTTCCACTTCATTATTGGTTCTGTGTAGCTTCAGGTATTTGGACCCACTTATTTATTGGTTCTGTAGCTTCGAGTATTTGGATCCGCTTGTATACACCTCTGGGTTTTACATATAATCTTAATTATTTATGATTAGAACTACTTATTTTACTGATCATGTAGTTTATATCTATTTGGATCAGTCTATATACAGGCCTTCTACATAAAACTATATCTAGAAAAGTATATGGAAATAGCATATTCTTGTCTATAGCCTAACATTACCTGTATACAGCTATGTGGAGCTAAATTAAACTCGTGGTAGATGTTTTATAGAACTACAATTAAAGCCTGTGTTTATACATGTATAGAATATAGAGAACATAGCCTTTGTCCAAAATTAGGTACTGTACTGTACATGAGATCTGGATATAACTTCAGTTATACAGCTATGCAACTGAACTTATGTCTCTATTTTCATACCATTACAGTTTGACTCCTATTTAACACGTAATTTAGGTTATAACTGGCAATTGTACCCGCATTATGCTATTATACAGCCTTTGTACATATATTTATATACATTATATAAATAGAACATAATTTATAAAAAAGAATTTAATAAATTACATTCTATTATTAGACAGTTGTATCCTTGAATAACAGAAAGCGCTCGAATTTCTGTGCACTCTGCACTTTAAAATTTGAATTTTTAGAAAATTTCTACCTCGTTTTTCCAATATTATACACACTTTAACTGTAAAAATTGAAGTTTTTGTATGGAAATTTAGGAAAATTTAATACTTTTCTCCCTCGAGAAATCTAAACAAATTTCACTTATTTATACTCCAGCAAACAAGCAGACAGACAAACGAACCAAGTCGAAGATTCGAATCGAATTGCCTTTTCGTGTACCTAAACGGATCATAAACACATTTACACTTTCGACATTATTCAGGCACGCTCTGATAATAATCAACTATTTTTAACCCAATATTGGGTAAATAGATATGCCCATATCACGTTTATTTTATTAGATTTGTGCTAAATGCCTTCTATTGTAACACACCTATTTTTAATGGATCTTATTGCTGTAAATGAAGTAACACGAGATATTAAATTCACTTCGTTTACAACCCAATTTTCACTAAATTACATTATTACCTTTCACTTAAATAATTACTCGAAATCTATTTTTAAAATGATTACACCTCCTCCTACACACAATATCTTTAATTGTGTGAACATATTTTAGGAACTAGCAGTGGGCAACTTGTTTAAATTAACTGGATAAGTTTAAGGTTCGTGTTTTATATTGTGACTTAAATTACCGAAAGATTACAGTATATTGCTATAGAATAAATTATAGTGGTGTAATATGCAGTGGTATTGAAGTACAGTAAACAGTTACAGCTTATTGCTACGTGCCATATACACAATAATAGACACAATACACGAAGTATTGCCAGTGATTAAGCCATAACATATAGACAAATATGCTACCATAGATTAAGTTTTAATTAATAATGCATAACATTATAGCCACAGACTAGATTATAATGGTATAGGCTAGGCTATAAAGGTATAAAGCACAGATATAACACAACGGTATTACCATATAGCAGATTACAAATGTGTAATATACAGTTAAATCAATATATGCTCTAATGACATATATTGTCGGCTTAAACTAAACTACACAGGTATATTACACAACAATATTGGTGTAATATAAGGGCTATAGCATACAATGATAACAGCTACAAACTAAGCGATCGCCGTGATACGGTTAAAGATGACAGCTTCATAATATCCAATAATTAGTAATGGTGTAAGAAGGAGAGTTACGGAGAAGATTACACCATAAATTACAATGGTCCTTGTACCGTTAACGTCGATACATTGTAAAAATCGCGCGAAAAGCATGAATTGTTTGGGAGCAAGGACGACGTATACGTTCTATTAAATGAAATGATTGTCAGATGACGAGGAAAAGTTTGTGGGTCATCGTTTGATGTTTATAATTCGTTGAACTTGCGACTCGATGTAGGTCAAGGGAAGAAGATAAGGAAGTTTATCGTCTCCTTCTCTTTCACTGACCGAATAAATCGCCATTGTTCCACTACAATTGTTTGTTTCCTCCAACACAACAGACGAATGAAAACTAAATTCTCCAGCGCGTATTCAAATCCACCCGGGATACATTTTCCATCGTACAAAAATTTACACGGTTTGCGAACAATAAGATAGATTTTTATCGCCTTGATTAAGCCTTTAAATTAATAGAATACCTTATTGTTCACATAAAGGCATTTCCTAATTACAAAGATTCGAAATGAGAAATTTGTATTTTTTTACGACCGACAATGCAGACTTTTAACATTGTTTTCCTAGTTTTTTTCTGTAAGTGAATTTTTTGTTATTAATGTTAAAACAATGGGGAAGTTATAACTAACTTAAACAAATCGTTAAGGAAAGCCTGTAGGGTGCTTATGTAATAAGCGTACGCGTAACGTTAAAAATCTCCTGTTGTGACTATAAAAAGCTTTACAGACTATTACATATTATTAGTTAACAAAATGAAAATTCGAGGATTGTTTAATAAAACAGTAGAAGTAGACAAAAGACAGCATATTAAGAATAAAACAAAGCGTTAAAACGATAAGCATTAGAAAGAACATACCGAAGACACAAAGTATGAAATACAGTCGACCCCCTATAACACTGTTGATTTTTCCGTTTTATATGAATTCCATGTTGTACGAGTCATTTAGATTTTACAAATACGTGTGCCGGGCTGTGAACGGCTCACGTATTTGTAAAATCTAAGTGACTCGTACAACATGGAATTCATATAAAACGGAAAAATCAACAGTGTTATAGGGGGGTCGACTGTAGAAAAGACATAAATGTCATTAGAAAATAGTAGGCAAATGCGGACACGACCGAAAAGATACAGTAATAGAATTGATAAAACAGCAGATGTCAGTAAGAAAAATGGCAGAAAAACATGGTAGGTGCCACCGAGAAATGGCAGAATAGTGTAGTAGGTGCCACTGAGAAAATAATACAAAACCATAGATGTATATACACCACCAACAGAGGAATATAGATAACACTATAAAAATATAATAGAAAAATATACATATTCTTTTTAAAAATATCAGAGAAACAAATAGACTACTACTAAAAATACAAAAAAGACCATACAGAAAAGTAAATATCACAATGCACAAAATATAAGTTACCACTACGAAAATACAGTAAAACAAATTCTTTAAAGAAAAATACCAGCAAGACAAAAATCCTCATACAAGTATAAATTCCCTCATCAATTTCTAATAAGTTCTATTATTTCTCCTCTATTTTTGTCAATACAGAAACAATGGACAAGCTTACTTTTTAGTTAAAATCAATAAAGAAAACACCAGAGTAAACCCATGCCTACGAAACTTAATGTAAGAGGAGAGGGGACCTTAATAAACTGTAAAATACAGTTTAAGCAGCGCAAACACTATACTTTGAAGAGTCATCATATTCGCGAAACGAAACAAAATAAACATTTAGAAACGAAAATAAATAATGGAAAATTGCTAAAAAATAAACTCGATTTCATCTTCCAGATCAATAAACAAAACGAACATTTCTGTAGAATTTAAGAAAACATTCTTCAGATTACAATTGCAAAATGTGCGAGAAATTACAAGAGCCTTTGGATGTTTGAGAATAAAACCATGAATTTGATAAATTATCTTGTAAAAACATACAAAAGCACATAAAACACAACCTATGAAATAATTTTCTGGTAATTTTCC